GCAGTATATTTGATGTTATGGTATTTTATGGAAGAAGAATATCCTGAACAGCACATCTTCACACTGTAATGTCAACAGAGGGGGAGAAAGTGCAGACAGAAAAGTGCTCTATATGATATAATGAGAATTTCAGGGTATATATTTCAGTTATAATTACATTTTGTTTCTTATACTTTTTGTTTCTTATGGTCTTTAACTAATAGTAAATATTATCTGTGTCATGTATAGAAAATAGATGATTATAACAGTGTAAAGAATGTTATTTTTAACTACAGTAGTTCGAACTGTAGTTCTGCTGAATGACTAAAACGTTATCAGTTAGATTGTGAAATCTGTGCATTTCTAGTCAAACCATCTTTCTCCAATCCTTTACTAAAAATGAAAATAAGGGCAGCATTAGTAGCCTAAAATGTGGGAAAGTATTGCAATGTGAAGCAATTAAGTGTTGATGTTAAATCAAAAGTAATTCACAAATACTTGAAATCGTGATGATTTAATTATAATAATTTACTTTTTCCTACCATTGCTGAACTTGATCTTTTTCATAACTTTTCTTCTTCCTTTTTAGAGGAGCTCTGCAATTAACATAATGCTGTATAACCTTAATTTTATGGTGGTCAAGAGAACTTAACGCACTGCAATTTAAGAAAATACTTGCAATTACAAAAAACACCAGCAAATCAAGAAATGATCTTCATCAATTTGACAGCGCATACTCACAACACAAGCAACTGAAGAAACCTGCTGCATTTTGTCACAACACAAGCAACTGAAGAAACCTGCTGCATTTTTTTGACTACGCGTAGGCTGCACCGGAGCATATACGTGCACTTATATATACAGAGGTATAAATCAGCCTTGATACATTACCTCCAACACTGCTAAAAGTTTACTCAAAATTATCATCCCCCTCAGATATCTGTTTACAGCTCACAATTATTTTTTTCTTCTTCTCAGAATTCAGGTTTACATAATTTTTCTCAGAATTCTGGATTTATGGTTTGCTATTTTGAGTTTTTCCTGCTTAGAATTTGTAATTTACATATATTTCCTATTTTTAAATGAAATATTTTGAGTTAAAACAGCTTGCTATGATGCTTTTTCAGTTTTCTGAGTTAATATCTCAATAACCAGTTGTGATATCCCACAATTCTGAGATTTTTAAAGTTTCTCCTTGCAGCATTTTTTTAAAGACTGGATGTACAGTGTTTTGTAATAGATTTTCAGCATATCTCTCAAATTTCTGAGAAGAAATGAAAATATGTTCTCTGTAATACTTGTTATAAAAGCTCCACAGCCCACTCTTATTGCTCAAGGCTCATGACAGAAAAAAAAAAAAAAAAAAAAAACAAGAATCTAATGTGAATAAAGAGTAAAGAGTGCCTATTATGGGTTTTTTGAGAATTACCTCCCATGTAGTGTGTAGTACAGCTCTACTACTATTTCACTACACAAGTGAAGTGCAATACCCAGCTAAGGCTTAAATCTGAAAGTGGACACTGTTTAAAACTATTGAATCATTTATAAAAGAGTTGACTCCTAGTATTTCAAATAAATCATCGTGACGTAGATTTGAAACTTTGTTGTTGCGATCGTAAACCTGGGAGATTTGAAACCTGCGACCCTGCCCACTATCACCGAAAAGAAATGCTAGACACACACTGTAGCAGATGCCGGTTGAATCACTGTGTTTAGCTGGATATTATTGAAAGTCTCTACCCAAATATGAAACTATGAAGAGTCAGTGGTTGAGGTTTATTTTTGCAAAAATACCTCAGCATTGTAGCCCAGTCTTGTGCAGTTCGAGTGCTTCTGGAAACTACATGCCTACAACGAAGAATTCATTGGCCGTTTGTTAAAGGAAGGATCAGAAAAGAGTACTGATGTAAAGGACCATGTCAAATGTTAAGACCATGTAAAATAAAATTGTTGCCTCGTTTACTCTAGCTTGCAAATGATGTATTTAGTTGTGTTTTGTTACTTATAACTGCGTGTACTTTATCAGGTTAACTCGTTATATTCTCTTATCGCGTTTAAAGCCACATCAAAAACACGACACGTGCAGCTTTGTTTACGGATTTTAATGCATTTGTGAGCATGTGGTCCACTGTCATTGCTATGGCTATTGTCAGCTGTTCCTACACATGTGCAATGGTCAATTTTTAAAATAGTTCAGCTCAGGTTGAGGGTGAGGTGTCTGAATAACACTCAGGGCTGGAGCAAGCTGAACTGGCGATCACGCCGCCCTCAACCCGAAAGTGCATTCTATGAATTCTGTTTTTGAATGTTTCTGTTAAGGACTTTTGTTTTGGTGTTGTGTGTGTGTGTGTGTGTGTGTGTGTGTGTGTGTGTGTGTGTGTGTGTGTGTGTGTGTGTGTGTGTGTGTGTGTGTGTGTGTGTGTGTGTGTGAAGTCATCGGTATTTTTAAGTCTATCGTCTGTATTTACATTCCCTCACTGGCAGCCAGAATCCATACCTTACACTATGAAGCGTGTATGCACTGTGACTACTTCAATATTGTTAATTAGCTGCTGGGCATTTTCACGTCTCGCGCTGAGAGCTGTCAGTGTTGACCAATCGCAACAGGCTGTCATCGGTCCAATCAGCGCAGATTAGCTTCGCGCTAAGGCGGGGTTTGGGAACAAATGAATCGCTATTGCTGTTGTTGGAGACCCTTACAACCAAAATATGACCCTATTTCATGTATAATATGGGCTCTTTAAAATAAGCAACAATTAATCTATCAAATCCACTTATCCAACCAATCAATCAATCAATCAAATCTTTTAATAGCAATTTAACTGCACTAAATTATGTGAAACAGATTCTACTCAAATGATGGCAAAATAATATTCCAAGATTCACATTTGTAAATAAAGTGTGGGCATTGAATCATAAAATGTATCTTACTGACAGCATCTAAAACAGATTCAAAGAGCTCAAACTCAGTTTTTGTTGATGAAAATTCCCTGAAGGCAACGAGTTTATGGAAAGCTGCTAGAGCGAGTGGTGTATGTGATGTTTAGAAGTTCTGAAAGGATCCAGCAATGTGTGAGCGAGCTGTCAGAGTCAGAATGAGCCTCAGTGGCCCTGGGCCGCTCATCACACTCACTTCACCTGACTTATTTAGCTTTCAAATTCAATTTACCAGCAATAAATATGATTGTTAGAGTAATTTACAGCAGGGAAGTTTTGCATTACCGCCTGTCGCTTGGCTCACTGTGCTTTTTTTGAAATATGCACACACATTTCTTAGTGTGTTTTGCAATAGATCCATTGTTTATGCAAAAGGGTTTTGTTAAACTGTTAGATTCCAAATAAACAAATAATATAAAAATAAATTATACCACTAACTGTACTTATACCACTAACTGTACTTATACCACTAACTGTACTCAAAAAAAAAGAAAAAAAAATTACTAAAATTTTACAAAAAAATTACTAAAAAAATTACTAAATAACAAAAAAATGACTAATACTTTCCTTCTTAGACTTTACAGACCTGAAACTTGCCTATAGCACTTATTCATTGTTGCTCTTATAGTTGTGTAAATTGCTTCCTTGACCTCATTTGTAAGTCGCTTTGGATAAAAGCGTCTGCTAAATGACTAAATGTAAATGTAAATTAATAAATGTAAAAAAATTTATAAATAATAAAAACTAAATAAACAAACAAATAAATAAATAAATAAATATTTGCAGCAATCTCTCAGACGTAATGAACTCAAACAAGTTCCAAAACTTTCACTAAAATATCTGTGATTGAGAACAAGAAAAGAATAATTGGTCTAATCAAATTGGTAAATTTAAAACAAAGGAGAAGCAGATTGGTTTAACTGTCTAAGGGAAATAACTCACACTCACGGTGCTACTGTAATTTATTTGCCTACGGTATGCAGAGGGCTGATCTGCTCTCATGCTGTAGATGGGAGAGACTCCTTTACAAGGACTGGGCTGCTTTTGAGTGCTCTGAGGCGAGGTAGGACCCGATGGCATCACCCGTAGCTCATTGAGAGAAGTTGGAATGGTACAGTATGGACACATGAGAGTATATAAAAATCTCCAGTAACACAAAAAAATACTATCAGATTTGTCGCTAGTTGCCTTTTTGAAAAAGAGGTCTGAGAAAAGTCACTAAATATAGCAACAAAGTTGCTCACACTGTTGGTGTGTGCCACTGTCTGTGCGTGTGCTTGTGTGTGAACACCTGCCCTACTCTGATTGGCAAACGTTGGAAATGTACTCTAAGCCTATGGTCACATTCTCAGTTACACCACATTCACGTTCATGTACACTAATCATTATGACTGGTTGGTTATATGTCCCGCCCCAGCCCCGAACACGCGCACACACACCCACACCTCAGGCCATATGGCTGAGAGAGAAGCTGCTCGCATGAATACCTCTTCTTTTATTGTCAGTAACGGTAACAACGTTATAATAGGGGAAACAGTAATTCAATCGATTGCTCGTTACTGAAAATAGTAACACCGTTAGTTACGCCTTTTATTTATAGCACTGTTATTCCCATCACTAGTGTTAAACTTTAAAAAAAAGTTAGTTTTTTTTGCTGCACTGAACATGCTTATTTTATAAGCTGTAAAAAAAAAAAAAAAAAAAAGTACAGTAGTGGAAAATAAAAGTAGTTTAGGCTAACTTCCGGTCAGCAAAATGTTTATATTGTTTGTAATCTTGTTTTCACAATCATTTTTAAAATAAACTCTGCTAAAATAAAATATTTGATCTCATAGTTAAACACCTGGAACTAGTATCAGACCATAGAACAATTGTGAGTTTTTCCGAATTTGCTATGATGCTTGTGAGTAAAATGTTTAATTTTGTACACCATCTTCCAACTTTTTAAAAGTATAGCAACGAATTTATGTGAAAAATTGCTTATATTCTACACACACAAATTAAAGTCCTGCATCTAAAGCATGCACATGACTGATGTCAGCTGTATTCCCATGCATTACCCCTGTGATGAAGTTTGGACTCACGGTTAATGGATCTGTCTCCTCATTATTTACTTCCAGCACACATCAGGCATCGCTCCACTGCCACAAGCAGCCATTGGGAACACAGAGGCTCATCCATATTTCTATGAACCTGTAAAAGTAAAACAAAATTTGTCACATTTGTCCTTTAACAACAACGAATGGGACTCATACAAGCAGCAAGGAAGTCAACTGAGAGTGATGCATTTTTAAGAAGCGAACACCGATTTGGCAAAAGAACATGACGGATGGAGTTAGCACAGATCTTGGCATTGCAAGAAAAAAAAGTTTATTCATTTTTTACCATCTCAGTGGGAGAGATGAGTTTTTCTACAGCTTCACTTTGAGAGCATATATGGGATAATATATGAGGCTACAATCACCAGTGATTTGAGCGCAACTAAAAACATAGTAATTAGCACACTTGTAATGCATTGTAGACAGTCAGCTGTGGAAAATGGTATTTTTAGAAACATTATGATTAATGGAGTTGTGGAAATGAAGCCACGTTAATGTTTGCAATCCATCATTCTGCAAACAGCAGGTTCACCTTATCATCCATAACAGTCTGTCAAGAGAAAAGGCAATGTTTGGTTCATGTATTTTCAAGTTGCAATAATGCCACCTAGAAACATCTCACTTTCTTAAAGAAAACCAGTTTATTTTGGACTTTAGATTATATTCATTCAGTAAATCTGTTAACAGAGATAACTTTTTCAACATATTTATAGTTTTTGTCTTTGCCATTGCTACAAAATGCACTCGTATAATTCTTGTTACACATGTACTTGCCAATGTGAAATTGCCAGAGTGAAAAATATGAAATTACACATTTTTACAACACATACTGATCAGTAGGTTGTTACATGTATCATGTATCATATGAATTTGTAGGATCTAATTTGTACAATTTAGTATGAGTTGCTTATTACCCAATGATGGTTGGGGTTAAGCCTCCTTTCAACTGCACACGACAAATGACAGACTGGAAGTTATTAATTTCCAATGGAGAGTAGTCCGGGAAATATCCATTGAAATATTTGAACTCCTGAGACCAGACCGTATGCATTCGGCCAACTGGATGTGATGTATTTTAGTGTTGTTGTACAAGCAGGTCCATTTGCGCGAGATGAGAAATACTAGTTTTTTTTTTTTTTTGGTTATTTTTTGAATAAGAAAAAGTCTTTATAAAAAAATTCTGGTCATTAATGTAAGTATTAAAGTAATAAAATATAATATAATTATTAATGTTGTCTCCACATTCCCTCCAATATTTTAGCGGTCTATGAGTTTCTAGTATTCATTCATTCACTCATTCATTCATTCAACCATTGTAAACCCACAGAGTATATAGCATCTTGCTTTTGCACACATATATATACATATATATATATATATATATATATATATATATATATATATATAGACCAAAGTTTGGACTCATGTTCTCAAAGAGTTTCTTTATTTTCATGACTATGAAAATTGTAGATTCACACTGATGGCATCAAAACTATGAATTGACACATGTGGAATTATTTACATAACAAAAAAAAAAAAGGGTGAAACAACTGAAAATGTCAAATTCTAGGTTCTTCAAAGTAGCCACCTTTTGCTTTGATTACTGCTTTGCACACTTTTGGCATTCTCTTGATGAGCTTCAAGAGGTAGTCTTGAAGCTCGTACAGCATTTATTGTAAAATGTGACCAAAACTCCCTGTGAAATGCATCCTAAAGAATGCATTCAAATGCACTTTAAATTTTAAGGCAATGATGCTCACATTTAAAGCCTATATTATGCACTTTCACACTGAATTATCAAGCATGTCAGATAACTTAATGTTTATCTGCATCTGCTAATAAAAGACAGTCTCCACATCTTTGTGTTCACCAGTGAAACAAGCAGAGAAACCCCTGTGAGCACACAAAAAATGAAAACCATGTGCAATAAATGATAGATGATAATAAACAGCTCCCAGTAACGCCATGGTCATTTCACACACATGCAAACCGGTCCCTAAATACAAGCCAGATTCAATAAACACAGGGCATTAGTTGTGTGTGTGTGTGTGTGTGTGTGTGTGTGTGTGTGTGTGTGTGTGTGTGTGTGTGTGTGTGTGTGTGTGTGTGTGTGTGTTCAATGATTACCCAAGAAAACAGCCTGTGAGAGAGGCTGGTCTTCTGTAATTCCTCATTCCCTGGTACAAACAAACTCTCAACAGTAATGTTTATTTACAAGCTTCACTGAATCACTAAAGCTTTGTAAAATCCTTTGTGGTTAATTATGACTGAGCTTTGTGTTGTGTTGCAGTGTGAAGCTCTTATCTTTGAAATCAGTGTATTGTTTATCAGAGGACATGAAGTTAAGTACATATATAACTTACCCTATGAAAACACTAGGATCCATGTCATTTTAAAGGGATAGTTCACCCAAAAAATAAATAAATAAATAAATAAATAATAATAATAGTAATAATAATAATAATAATAATAATAATAATAACAATAACAACAACAACAACAATAATAATAATAATAATAATAATAATAATAAAATTAATAATAATAATAATAATAATAATAATAATAATAATAATAATAATAATAAGGAGAAGATACCGTCATCATTTATTACATCTTCACTGTAAAGAAAAATGTAGGGTTCCATACAATTAGTTAATGTTGTCCCAACACAAATGAATAAGCTTAACTTATTGATTTTTTTACAAATGTACTGTAAGTGGATTGAACATAAAACAATTATGTTGGCAAAAAAATAAAAAATAAATTCCGTAAAAATTGTGATGTTCTGAAAATCTTAATCAATTGACTTTTAATGTTCAGGGGGATTTAAAAAAAACTACCACAACTCTCTGAAGGGAGTAATATTGAACATCTATGAACTTGTTTTCTACTAAAAAAATAAATAAATAAATAAATAAATAAAACTTTGTTAAGTACTCTTTACATTGATTGCGCAAGGTTCAATCATGTTTCTTTAATTAAATGCATATTTTCAAAGTTGTAATTTTTATTTTAATCACCCTGTATTTGCTTTTTTGTTGTTGTTTTTTTTCTCTAGTATAGATGTCAATGGTTGCAAGATTTCAGCTTTCTTCAAAAAAATATCCTCTGTGTTCATCAAAATAAGAAAACTCAAAGGTTTGAAACTACTCAAGAGGAAGTAAACAGTAATTAAACTGTAATTTTTGGTTTTTCAAGCCCTTTAATGCATCTTTAATAAAAGCAATTTTAATAATGTTGTTAGAATGTCAAGCCAATTCCATGTGTGTTCTATAAGAAAAGGTCTGGAGAGTGTTTTCTTCAATGCCAAAAATATTAGTAATTTATTGGATACAAATATATAATTCAATGACAGAGCTCTGGGTTACGTTATCCCAATGCAATACAAGATTTGCATTCAAGAGTTTCACAGCTAACTTACATTTCCTGACTCCAGCATATATACACAACTGATATTAACAGGTGGAGTTTTGGTGTAACGTCACTTATCAGTCATTCTGCAGTCCTTTGGCTCTTGTACCCCCAGACATAATTCCTCTATCTGCAACCCTTCTCTGCATTCCAGAACTGACCAATTACGTGCATCTTTAATATATTTCACAACTTCTACAAGCATCATGACAACTTGTGACATGTCTAGACTTTGTATTAAACAAAGGCCCCCACACTTATTCTTATTATGCTTTTTCCACTTGTCAGTATGTTCCTTAAAGTATGCAGCACATTAAAAAAAAGAGGAAGGGTGTCTGGTCAAGATGTTTTATAATACAATAAAAACGATTGATTAATCTGTTGTTAGTCTAAACTATTTTTTTAATAAATAAAAACACAAAAGTAATAAAAATAAATTCATTTTTTTTCAACAATGTATTTACTGTGGTAGAGAACAATTCAGACAGAGATCTCAACTATGAAGTAAACATACAGGGCCCTATCATGCGCAATTAAGTGCAAGATATGTTTTCCCCGACATGTTGCTATTTTCAGACCAGCGCAACCTTAACATTCCCGTTTTGCACCATGTTGTTTAAATAGAAAATCTATTTGCGCCACTTTGTGGACTTATGGGTGTTCCGGTCTAGAAAAGAGGTGTGTTAAGGCGCATTGTTGGCACCAAGCTATTCTGAGGAACTAAAATAGACCACAGAGCATGTTAGTTGTGCGCCTCGCTTACACATTACTTAAACATGCATGATGTACAGCAATACACAAATATCTGTACAAATGAAAACGAATTAAAGTACTAAAATATTACAAAAAATTTAAACTTCCTACATAAATTATTAAAAACCACTGCCTCCATGCCTTCATCCCAGGGGTCTTTTTTCAGTTTATTCATGACAACTTGCTTTAGTATATTGTCATTATTACTATTATTATTATTATTGGTATTATTTATCATATGCGCTCATAAGAATGTGCTCACTCTGGGGTTTGGGTGCGTGTTTTAACAGACATATAAATATAATAACATCTAAACATGTCCATCTTGGTGTTTCTTTTTTAAACACACCAAATTTTGTTTTAAATGAGCATAAAAAGTTATGCAGAGTTCAGACTGCATGATTTTAGCCCCGATATGGACTCGCCGACAGTTTTCTAAAAATCGCCGACAAATGCCTGAAATCACAGGCAAATCGGTGCTCGTACACGTGAGTGACAATCACACAGTATGAACTATCAAAGATGCGATCTGAGAGAATTGCAGATGAAATGCCGATGCCTGAGATATTTGGCGTGCTAAATATCTGGAGCTGTCGTCGATTCAAGTCATGCTAGGTGAAATGAGTTTTGACTGAAAAAAACATTGGCGATCGCCTACAGCTAATGAAAGAGCAACATTCACTTGTGTGTGTATACCTGCAGGCCAGCAGGAGGTTGGGGGAGAAGTTAAAAGTGCTCATTTCAGGTTACTTAAACCCAAGAAATGGAGGAAAAACTAGTGGAGGTTTGACAGGAGCACCCGTGTCTGTTTGACGTTTCATACAGAAGGTTAAAAAAGAAAGTTGAGGAGAAATGGCTACTTCCTTCAAAGCCAGGTGAGCCAATATGTACATTTTCAACCCCATTAAAGGCTTCTTTCTTGTTATGTACAGTAGTTAATAACAAAAGATATATGTGTTTTTGGCAGTGAGACAAGATTTGGACGAAGTTGTCAGCGATTCTTCCTATTGTAAAATCATGCACTGTGAAAGCCCCTGTCGCCGATCCATCTTGCAGTGTAAACAAAGCAGCGACAAAATGCTAGCCCAGATACTTATGCAGTGTGAAAACATCTGTGACACGACTACTTTGAAAATCATGCAGTCTGAACTCGGCATTAAGAAATCAATCGAATGCTTTCATTATAAATGTGTGTATTTTTTTAAGTGACCTCTGTTATTTTATGTAATCAAACAACAAAACACAAATCTTAATGAGAACTTTATTCGCTGCTTTTTAATCAGAATGTTAAAATCATTCAGTGAAGAAAAGGTTAATTTGAGATTTTATAACT